ACAAGTAGTACCAATGCATTTTTGAATTTAATCTTTTATGTTCACAAACTTTGTTACAAAAATTTGAAGGTTTAACATATTTCAATGAGTATTTGTTTTTTACTTGAAAAGTTGGTTGAAGGTGTGTGACAAAACATCTCTATTCTCAACTGGCCACTAGTGTATATTCACAACATTTCAAAATTTCAGGATGATTTGGAAGTATGTACAATAATCCAGATATTTATCACTTGTGTTCTATTCTAGTACGTACTTCCTTCTCTTAATACGCTTAATATCTGTGTTACTATTAATTATACTAAATTATTATTTCCTTGTTTTTCAGATTTAAAATAATTATCACATTTATCGAAAAGTAAAAGATAGAACTTTAATTTTTAATTACATAATAAGAAATAATAACATATACTTTAAGCTGTGCCGTATAAAACACATAATTGATTACATTATGTGAAATTGTAAATTTAGCACAGCAAATAGACTCTCTTTGCCTTAAAAATAAACCTTAGCAACCCTCACACCAACATTTAAGACTTGGACTGCAATGGCCGCTAGAGCGTCCTTCTTCCCGGCATACTCTGCGGCAAGCTTCGTTGTCCCAAACAGCGCATGGGCCGCCATATCTTCCAGAAAGACAATCGCCAAATACTATTTCGGTGCTGATGGCGATGATGAGTAAAACGGCAAAAATCAAATAACCCTTCATTTTATACGATTGAGAGTGGGACGTCGTACAATTTCAATATTTAATTAATTTTATTGTAGCACTTAACTGAGTTGTATAGAGCAGTGACACACAGTGTTGTTTATTTACGAATGATGAGAGCTTGGAACGTCTGCTTGTACTGCAGCAATTGACAATCAACCAAGGCTTTTATACTGCACAAACGCGATGTGTTTTTGTTTTTAATAACATACATTGGATAAAAAAACAAAACATTATCTTTAACATGTTTCCGACTCGTCCATGCCACAACTCGTGCTTTCCAGAATACATTAATAATACACTATTTAAATACATTCTTTGAATAAAATTAACATCGTCGGGTTTTATACGTACAGTTTTTTACTGACCTTTCTTGACCGTTTTGTTTAATATTTAGATTACAGTTTGCGTTTGCAATAAAATAACAAAGATTTTTTACTTTTGGAATAAAGTTCCTTATCAAAAATCAGCTACTCACTTTACCAACATTTTCTTATATTTACCGGGAGAAATGTTTGGCGGAAAAAAGGATGTGTAACCAATAAAAATTCATTTGTCTCAAAAAGGGAAGATTTTTTTTCTTTGTTTACTATTCACAAGTATTTAAAAAAATTTCAACTTAACTTTTTAAAAGAAGAACTTATTTGGAACAAAAGTTAAATAATATCATAAATTAAATAAAAATCCCCTTTTCTTTAAGCTGCCTCTAAGTTTCCTAGATCTAGGGATATTTCTCTTAGTCTCAATGTTGGCTAAAAATCGAACGTATTAGAGGATATCTCTCTCCTTCTTATTTACTGCTTGTGGAAAGAGGGAAAGAACGGACAAAGTAGATTCGATTAGTAACCAATCTACCTCGAAGAAGGCTTATGCAATAAGAGTGAAACGTAAAAGGTGTTGATTGCATTTGATTTTTGTAATACGTAATATATTCAAAAGGGAAAGAAATTACGAAAGAGTAAGGTCGTCAGTCCTAAGACTGGTTGAACACACACTTCCACTCCTTCCTATCCTGAGTTAATCTTCGTATTTCCCTAAAACTAGAACAGTAATCTAATTTAGGTCTACTTCTACTCNCAAACCCAATAGTTTTGCGAACGTAGTAACGAAAATTTTCGTAGGTATTATTTAAGTTGCGAGAGTGGCTTCGCTCGTCAACGGGATGAAGGGGCTTCATATGGGAGTGGAAGGGAGAAGAAAAAGACAAAACAAAATTATTCATTACTGCTTACTCTCTCGTACTCATTGAAGGGTATGGAGTGACTCAAACTAACCTCATGTAGCGGCTCCTGCGAAGTTAAAGTTTGCCCGGCTCTGCTCTAGGCCATGCCGCTCGGTTTGCTCCTAGGTCGAAGTTTATAAAATGACCAAGGACCTAAACTGGTTCAAACAATTTATTATAAGTGGGGATCATTATCTTCTTAAAAAAACGTTTCGTGGCGATCACAAATGACGACTGCTATTGGTTGATTTAAGCCGCTCATAGCAGCTTCCAGTGGCACCCGAAGCAAGAATATTAAAATTATTAAATACTCGCTTGTTGTTTCGACTTATTTGGTCATTTATAAGACTAATTAACCGTTGTCTTTATACTTAAACTATATTTGTATTTGATTCGTTGCAATATTAAAGACGATTTTAATGAAGTTTGATAGGAAAAATATCTTCAAATTTTTGGACCTAATGAGTTCGAATGTACAGTAAATTAGTAAAAAGCGATTACTTCAGGTGATAATTTTTAATAAACTTTCTCAGTTTAATTGTTAATGCTGATAATATTGGCACAATACGATTTTGCTAATGGTTAAGTATGGATAATAGAATAGTTTTTTATATTTTAACACATAATTAAAATCCTTCTTACAACGAACTGATAAAAACAGCGAGTGTTTTCGAAATGAGGAAATTACATCTAAATTTTGCGGACAAAGAATAGGTGCGGTTATAATTTTATTGATCTTTAATTTGAACTATCGGCTGTAATAAATACGATTTAATAAAAAGTACTTTTCATTTAAAGAAAACACGAAAAAATAAATGGCTGAGTAACAAAAGAAAGCAATTATGTATTATTATTGTTATGTTTATTAATACCTATACACACACACGTATATATATATATATATATATATATATTGATGCAAGGTATGTTGTCACTTCCATTTGAGATACGTAGTTACCGTTGTGACTTCATATATTACGGAGTCACGTCCACTTTCGGACGTGACAACGAATTGAGCTGGTATTAACTGAATTAGATAGTAGATGTCATTAGAAGCATAATATGAAAAATCACTGTGGAAGTCACTCTGACCTCACATCTCCGGCAAATTTTATTTTAGTTCAAGCGTAGATGACTGGCGCTAGTGTCGAATATAAACTTGTTACAGGCAAAACGTACTGACTTCCACATTGTTTTACATGGAAGAAATGCGGCATCATCGCATCGTGTCGGGCGGTGTATTTAAACGTAGGAGACATTAATCGTCAAATATTAAGTTTAAATTTTCTTTTTTACACTAAGTCAAGAATCATGTTAAATAAAATAATAGTTTGTCTATTACTGCATAATTGGTGTATATTATTGCGTAATTATTCGAATTAAAAAACAAAACACAAAAATAGGTGTACCTATACANAGTTTTGAGGGATGGAACGATAGATTTAATGTAGAAAGGAAAAAATAAGTTTAGAAGTAAAATAACTATTTTTGGAATTACAGATGTAGGCGATTATGAAAATAAAAATAAGTCACACAATATAGTCGATTATGTTTACGTAGTTTATGTCCGATTTGTTTATGTTTCGACTATTCGGAGAGAACAACGGTGCCCAAACTTGTTTAATGTTGTTCTTAAAATTATCGAATGAATCAGCTGATATAAAATTCGGTTGAGTAAGAACCTTATGATTTGTGAATTGAACGAATAAAGTTGGAATAAGCAGGATAAATGATGAGGTCTGACTACAGTTATTAGTAAAATTTGCTTCCCAGAGAAATGAAAATCGTCAATGTTTTTCACAACCACCAAATAGACACTTACTTAATTTACAGAAAAACGCATTAAAAAGTTAGCTTAATTGAATTTTGGTTTAGGATTATGTTTTGAATTCATGGCAAATACAATTAAAAAGAAACGAATTAATATGACTTTACGAATAATTCAGAGTATGAAACACCTGATGACATGCTAAGAAATTGAAGTGATACTATTATGAAATGTATACAAAATCGCTCAAAAAAGGCTAAAAACGAAATTAAAGTAAATGCGATTCCTATTAGAATGAGCTGGAGAGTACTACACACATTTATTATGAAATGTATTGTAAATATCCAAAGACGGAGTATTAATGCCATCTGTAGGTAATTAAAGAATTTCCACTTGTTGTGAGTTAATTAATGTTCTTTTTAATTAGAGAGGCCGACTTCTTACACTTAATTACGTCGCAGGTGTCTAGATGGCATGGCATGCATATTGAAAAGAACAATAAAGCCGGTCGTACACTCCAGAAGCCACCGCGCAGCAGCATGTGTTTGGGACAGACACTTCCTTCCTGGCGCAAACTGTCACAAGTCATCATTTGAACATTGACAACTTTTACCTAATAACACTATCTAGGGCCACCCTTCAAAAATGGCAGATCGAGAGATATCACAGATAACATTACTACTAAACTTTGAGATCGACTTGTAAAAACTGACCTTACAGCGCAGGTATCTGAATGACATGACATGCATACTGTGTAGTGTCTATTTCAATTTGTTAGAATTGTGACCTTGAAGAAATCTGCGCGAAGATAGATAGAATACACACTAGGCGTGAACAAGACAGAAATAGTTGGAACAAGCTTGAACGAGGAGAACTCTCGATGGGCGGTCTTAAGAGATCGACTAGAACTGTACAGTACTAGACGGAAATGTTGAGCAATTTCTTAAAACAAAAATGTATACAAATTAACAATAGAAAACAAAGCGAAAGTTTTATAGGTGTGTAGAACGTTAAGTTAATTCACTTAAGAGTTAAGAGTGGAGGTGCGTGTCTAACCAGTCTTAGGACTGACGATCCATGATGACGATCAGGTAACAGTAAAGATTTCAGTATTGCCGGTAAATATTCTGAAAAATATGAGAAAAAAATTCTTTCTCTATTACTTTATTAGAAGGTTATAATATACAGTGCTTATTAAACATGCAGAATAACAAGAAGAGTTTTCGATCCCTGCATATTTTTTTACTAGAAATCTAGAATGATTAAATAAAACCCAACAACATATCCAGAATACTGAGGGTTCTCAAAATAATTATAAACGACAATGAAAATTGATAATTATAACCAAAGATCACTGCGTGTGTGTGTATAGAATTCAATTGCAACTTGTTAGCTTGTTATGACGTAGTAAAGAAACATTAATTACGTGAACCTCTAAAATTAGTCGAGAACAATTAGATAGCGCTCTCTATTTTTTTATTTTGTTATTTACATTAGAAATCGATGTTTTTAAAAAGGAAATCTGTTTTGTTCTATAAATATACTTGATTGATAATACAAACACACACTTAATTCTTGTTTTATGTCGACTACATATAGAGTGAGCACTACGTCATCCGTTTGTGTTTTATTCAAGGAATTATTTATAAAAAGATATAGATTCATTTTCAAATTACTATATATAATCATAAGGACTAAGTTGGAAGAAGCACGGGCACAATTAAGGTAAATAACTACAACTTAAGCACAACAAAATGGAAAAAGAAATTGTTGACACCCTTGTTACCTTGCGTCCCTATAAACGACACGCCTTAAACGAATTCTATTTCAATGTATTTAAATCCAATTTGTATGAACGTTTTGCAGTTGCCAATAAAATTATCCGAAATCTGGTCGGATTCGCGCCCCGGTACAGCAGTTTTCTGCTATAAAATACCCTAATTTTAACAAGGATGTGAGACAACCCATTTACTAAACCCCTATCGCAAGTATGATATTTATCCCCGATTTCAGGGATGAAAACGCATCATTCCTTCCCGAATAAAAAATTATATCTACTCCTTATTATTAGGAATGTATTTTAATTGCGTGGATATTGCTTCCCGAGTTGCACTTTCGTCAACTGATACCTCACTGTACAAAATCGCATACGGGTGTCGGGAAATTGTATAGCACACCCTTTTGGAACTTTGTTGTACTTACTTTACCTTTTTACATAATATTATATGGATTTCAAGTCGATGGTCGATTTCTTTTTACATGTTAGAAGTATCTCAAAAATGGACAGACAGACAGCGTTACAGGCGTAATCACAATTTGATTCCAGTGAACCTTTTGGATACGTACAAAATCCTAAAATAAAGTGAAGGCTACCTAACAGAGTTCCAAATCCTACGTTTCGTAGTGACTGGTGGACCACAGACGGATACGGGAAGGGTCGATACTATAAGGTATAAGGGTTCTGTTCTTCCCTTAGAAGCTTAACTATAAGAAACTGTTGTGTAAATTGCAAATGTTCATTTGTTATTTTAATCAGGTACAAGTTTGCTGATGTTTTGTCAAAGGTTTCACGGTACATCGTCAGGGAGCATGTTTTAGATTATATGAATTCTCGGCGTCTTCACAAATATCGATAGGGGCGTAAAGTACCCAACATTTCATTTTTTTATTATGACATATATAAAGAAGTTGTTGCAGAGCCCAACACATACCTACAGGTTACGTAAAACGGTAATCGAACAAAAAATTGGACATTGTTTTATCAGGCTAGTGAAAATGAATAGGTAATTTATTGAACCCTTTAAGAAAAGCTTAACACTTCTCAAAAGCTTTAAACTGCACTTATTGGACTTTTTCATCATCATCATAAAGTGGTCAGTCCTAAGACTGGTTGGATACGCACCTCCGCTCTTTCCTACCCTGAGCTAAACTTCGCATTTCCCTAAAACTAGAACAACCCACATCCTTAACTACTTGTGAACAGTAATCTAATCTAGGTCTGCCTCTACCCCTCCTAACTCCTGTTTCTGTCTCTAATATGTCTCTGACTAGACCTTCATGCCTAAGAAGGTGTCCTACCAACCTATCTCGCCTATTTTTTATTGACTTCCATAGAGTCCTCTGTTCTCCTATTCTTTCCAATACCTCTTCATTTCTAACCTTTTCTACCCACGATATCCTCATCATCCGCCTATAACACCACATTTCGAACGCTTCTAACCTTTTCTTTTCCGCCGCTCCCACTGTCCATGTTTCGCACCCGTACAACGCCGTGCTCCAAACATACACCTTTAACAACCTTTTTCGAATTTCTAAATTAACCGTTCGCGAGCATAGAAGTGACTTCTTTTTATTAAAGGCGACACGACCCTGCGCTATCCTCTGCTTTATATCCCTACTACTCCTTCCATCCTCACTTATCTGACTTCCTAGGTATCTAAAATCAGCCACTTCTTCTAATTTTTCGTCTCCTATCTTTATATTCGCTCTTTCCCTACTTTTTCTTCCCTTGCATATCAGTATTTTAGTTTTACTTTTATTTATTTTCATACAGTACTGATCTGTCAGTACCGCTTCCATTTTATTTAAAGCTATCTCTAGGTCCTCCTTGCTAGATGCTAATACTGCTATATCATCTGCAAATCTAAGCATACTAATCTTTTGCCCTTGCACATCTATCCCTACCGTTGTACTGTCTTTAATGGACTTTCTATATTATTTTTATTAGTCGTGGAAGATTTGTTGTAAAAAAATACTCTGTCGGTAATGATAAAAGCAATTTTGTTACTCAGGGGTTTTGAGGGTCGCTGAATACGAATATGCAGCGACGGAGACAGAGGTACCTGCTGCCTGGGACCACCGTCATACACTGAGTGTGTATTACACTCGTCTTCAATAGGACTTCTTCTCAGGCATGAAGGTCAGAGACATATTAGTGGCAGAAACGGGAGTCAGGAGGGGTAGAGGTAGATCTAGATTAGATTACTATTCGCAAATAATTAAGCTCTAGTTTTAGGGAAATGCGAAGATTAGCTGAGTACAGTAAATAGTGGAGGTACGTGTCCAATCAGTCTTAGGACTGACGACTTTATGATAATGAAAAATTACTTGAAATAATTTAGTAGACGGTTTTGAGAGTCGCTGACACAAATAACTAATCTGTCATAACCGAGCTTTGTAAAGGACTTATAATACTGAATTTTTCTTACGTACCAATGCATTTTTGAATTGTATCTTTTATGTTCATAAACTTTGTCATAAAAATTCGAAGGTTTCACATATTTTTGTGCTTTAATTCAATGACTATTTGTTTTTTATTTGAAAAGTTGGTTGAAGGTGTGTGACAAAACATCTCTATTCTCAACTGGCCACTAGTGTATATTCACAACATTTCAAAATTTCAGGATGATTTGGAAGTATGTACAATAATCCAGATATTTATCACTTGTGTTCTATTCTAGTACGTACTTCCTTCTCTTAATACGCTTAATATCTGTGTTACTATTAATTATACTAAATTATTATTTCCTTGTTTTTCAGATTTAAAATAATTATCACATTTATCGAAAAGTAAAAGATAGAACTTTGTAAAATTTAATATTTAATTACATAATAAGAAATAATAACATATACTTTAAGCTGTGCCGTATAAAACACATAATTGATTACATTATGTGAAATTGTAAATTTAGCACAGCAAATAGACTCTCTTTGCCTTAAAAATAAACCTTAGCAACCCTCACACCAACATTTAAGACTTGGGCTGCAATGGCCACTAGAGCGTCCTTCTTCCCGGCATACTCTGCGGCAAGCTTCGTTGTCCCAAACAGCGCATGGGCCGCCATATCTTCCAGAAAGACAATCGCCAAATACTATTTCGGTGCTGATGGCGAGGATGAGTAAAACGGCAAAAATCAAATAACCCTTCATTTTATACGATTGAGAGTGGGACGTCGTACAATTTCAATATTTAATTAATTTTATTGTAGCACTTAACTGAGTTGTATAGAGCAGTGACACACAGTGTTGTTTATTTACGAATGATGAGAGCTTGGAACGTCTGCTTGTACTGCAGCAATTGACAATCAACCAAGGCTTTTATACTACACAAACGCGATGTGTTTTTGTTTTTAATAACATACATTGGATAAAAAAACAAAACATTATCTTTAACGCGTTTGGAACTTGGCCCTGCCTCAACTCGTATTTCCCAGACCTCGGAATACATTAATAATACACTATTTAAATACATTCTTTGAATAAAATTAACATCGTCGGGTTTTATACGTACAGTTTTTTACTGACCTTTCTTGACCGTTTTGTTTAATATTTAGATTACAGTTTGCGTTTGCAATAAAATAACAAAGATTTTTTACTTTTGGAATAAAGTTCCTTATCACACCGTTAGCAGCCAATCAGCAAAAATCAGCTACTCACTAGTGTTTTTATCAACATTTTCTTATACGAGGGTGGATTGATAAGTTTCCGGCCTAACCAAGAGATGACGCCACTAGGCCTACCTTGATGTGACATTCTATAGTACCATCCTTGGATAGCTTGTAGCTATAGTTTCAGCCCGATCTCCTTGCTAGTGTAGGTTTGACAGCACGCTGAACAAGACGCCTCTGTGGTTTTCGTAAAAATGGAAAAG